GGAAGGAAGGAAGGAAGGAAGGAAGGAAGGAAGGAAGGAAGGATATTCCTGTGCTGAGGTTCTCTGAGCTGGAACATAAATGACACACAAAAAGCACCACAGGCCACTTCAAATGGCAGCAAAGCCCTCCAAATTCACAAATGCCATGGAAAAGGCTGCTGGGATCCATGTGGGAAATAGAAAGGGAATTGTGAATGGGAGCAGGGAGGACAGCAGGGGCAGGGACACCCTCAGCAGTGACACAGGGAAATGGAAATGTTTGTGACACATCCCCAGGGAATGGCTGCTCCACAGCCACCCCAGGCAGGAACTGAATTCTCCCAGCAGCTCTCCAGGATTTGCAGGGAAAGTTTAGGAAGCCAAGACATCCAGAAGCTGAATTTCACCAAGTTCCCTTTCTGACAAAGCCAGCACTTATCTCCAGGGGTTAATTCTGTAAAACTAATTCACAGAAGTTCTCTCCTACTCCTTATCTCCTGATTACTTCTTTCACCACCACCTGGAAAAACCCCAGCAGGTAAATGATCCCCTGAGCAGGACTTGTAGAGTTAATTTACCTGTTCTTCCTAAGCATCCATCACTGTAGCTGTCTCCTCTCACCTGTGCATTTGATACAGCATTTATCCTGAGGGCAAAAAAAGGAGACACAACAGAAAATCAATTCAGAGTTCTAAGTAAAACTCCAGCTTTTTTTTTTTTTTAAGATGTGACAAATTCTGGGAAATTCCCTGGCATTCTGTCTAGTCACAAACCCCAAGTCATCCCTTTTTCTTGCCAATACTGAATGATTCAATAGAAGTTGTTACTTTTATTTACATCTCCACAACAAGAGCCAAGGATATTGTTACCCCTCCCATTTGAGGAAGTTTTGGGCAAGGAACAGCTGTAAAACTTGTAAAAACAGAGGGAAATGCAGTGAATTGTTCCATATTGAGGTAAGCACTGCATTCTCCATCCCAGGCCAGGCTGGACACTGGGGCTGGAGCACCTGGCACAGGGGGAGGTGTCCCTGCCATGGCACTGGGTGGGCCCTGAGGTCCCTCCCAACCCAAACCATTCCCTGATTCTGTGATTTATCCACCTGCCAGCAAAGCCTGGCTGCTGCTGGTGGCTCTGTGGTGAGCCCTGTCCCCAGCACTCACATGAAGAAGGCCAGGGTGGAGAAGACCCCGCAGGTGTGGAAGGCGTGGTTCAGCTGCTCCGGCTTGGGATAGACCACGGCAGCATCGATCATGATCCACCAGCCTGTGAAAAACTGGGCACAGACACACACAGGGCTGAGCCTGGGGGCACAGGGCAGCAGGGAGACCAGGCAGGCCTGGGCACCACTGCCTTCACTGGCCCCTAACAAGAACCAACTCCTCTGGACAGTGGTGTAAATGTGTTTGATGGGCAATGCCTGCACAAATCCCAACGTTGCTGTGTTCAGGGGAGTGTTTGGGAATCAGCCACAATTTCTG